AAAAAAAAAAAAAAAAAAAAACTTGAAATAAGCAAGCCGAAAAAGCAGTATCTTTCCCTACTGCTGGTTTATTCCCACTGGCAGCCAAATCACATAAATAGCTTTGTAGTTAATACGTATTCCGATTATCTCTCCAGAATTGTTTTTGAGGAAAACCTGATAAGAATGTGATCGCAGAGGGGAAAGTTTAATAAACAGCCTCCCTAAATCATACTTGTAACCAAATGGAAACCAGGCAACAAAACTCTTCGACTTTCAGAAGCCTCCTCTCTCCGATCGGGACTTCCTGGGTGTCGAATATTCCTCAGAGCAACTTCATGCAAGGGCTGAGCCTCGTTTCCAGGTTTGGGCGCCGTGACTCAACGGCGTCCTGCTGCAGTTGTCACGTGGTCATGCTGTAGGCTGACAAATCCCCGTGAGGACCGCCGAAGGAGGCCAGCCCGAGTGCGTGTACCTGGACGCGTGTGTGTGCCTGCAAACACGCGTGCGTGTTGCGGTCGCTTTAATTAGTTGTCGTTTTGAGACGGCTTCATCTTTTTCTCACCTTAGCACGGATGAGCTGTGCCACCATCGCCCTCGCACCGCCCACAAGCGCACATGACTGCTTGTTGCTGACGGCGCTGAAACAGAGCTGTCATTCAAGAGCCACAGCTCTGCAGGGCTGCACTGCCCCAGTGCGCCACTTTCCTGGTTGTCACTCACTGGGAGAGCACCTGCTCTTCTCCATGACTGTCAATGCAGCACGGGCACGCATCAGCACAGCACAACACGCCCCAGCAGCAAATTGAGATGTCCAAGTATTATACGCGGAGCCTGCAGAATTGAGACACGAATACGGCAGAAGGAAGACTGCTGAGAGGCACATGCAGGGCTCTGAACAGAACTCCTCAGACTTTATTGTGCGTAGGGATCACCCGCAGCTCCTGTTAAGATCCAGATTCTGACAGTAGGTCTGGGCTTGGGTCCTGAGAGTCTGTTTCCCATACGCTGCTGGGCGATGCTGAGGTTCCCGGTCTGTGGACCAGACGTGAAGTAGCAAGGCTCTGTGGTGTGCCAGCCCTCAGACATGATTCTTGCAAGATCTGTTTAGGATTCTGAAACCTGGGAACAGTGATGCCATTCCGCACATCTTGTGAGTGTTCACCAGAGAAAAATAGTGCATGAGCCATGGCCTGAAGTCCTAATTTTCACATGATAGAAAAACTTCACATCGGTGAGTTCCGTTATCAGTTTAAAATTCCAGAGTGATCATGGATCGCACACAATCTCTCCTCAGCTATAACGCAGCTTTAAATAGCGACACCTAGTTAACCACCTTTTAATGATCTCCATCCTTTTCAACCTTGGTTTATTAAATGCAGTTTATTTTAAAGAAGTCTTGTGGTTTAAATAAGCCAGAGCTAGTGGTGTGGGCAGATGGTAGAAGGAACCCCACCACAAAATCTGCCACTCAGAGTGTAACAGATGACCGTAGCAGCCCAGAACTATCCCTTTGTTCATTTTGCTAATGAGTGTCCTCATTGCTGTGGGAGTCTGAATAGTTAATTACGTGCAGTTCCTGCAGCTGACAGATGGTGGGGACAGAGCTACAGATTAACCTCACAAGAATGAGGGGCTGTAGATGGACATGAAGGGGAAAACCAGTTGAATGTGTTTTCCTTGCTTCTTGCTTTTATGTGACAATTTGAGAAAACACATCTAAGTATTAGCCGCCACCCCTTATAAATACTGTGTGTGATTAGTTCAAATAGTTCTTGTATAGTTTATGCTAATGGGTGCTCATATAATCCACTGTGGGTATTCTTTTTTTAAAAATTTTTTTTTCAACGTTTATTTATTTTTGGGACAGAGAGAGACAGAGCATGAACGGGGGAGGGGCAGAGAGAGAGGGAGACACAGAATCGGAAACAGGCTCCAGGCTCCGAGCCATCAGCCCAGAGCCCGACGCGGGGCTCGAACTCACGGATCGCGAGATCGTGACCTGGCTGAAGTCGGTCGCTTAACCGACTGCGCCACCCAGGCGCCCCTCCACTGTGGGTATTCTTATCCTATCAGTTAGGAAACCTTTGCTTAACCCTTTGAAGACAAATATTGTTTGTTTGTTTGTTTGTTTGTTTGTTTGTTTGTTTAAAAAGCCCTTTTAGTCTATAAGTACATTCTGTGATGGCTTCAAGTTGAACGTGTGGGACTAGAAATTAATTTATTAAGGAAACAGTGTTGTTTGTTAACTATTAGATTTGTTAGCTTTCCTTAGTTAAAGAATGAGTTGGGCTCAAATGATTTAAATAAAATGGTGATTCGAAATCATAAAGATCTGTGTTGGGGTTTAGTGCAAAATTTAACATTGTGTTAAAAATGAACTCTCACGGAACTAACTTCCTTAGTAGGTGGCTTGTTATTTTTTAAGGGTTTATTAAACGCACTGCAAAAATCGCAGCCGCTTATTTTTCTTTTGAGCCATTATGGCCACAGAGAAAAATATTTTAATACTTGACTTTCAGGTATCTGTGAAGTTAAGGAAAAATACGATTCCAAAAGGAAAGCGGTATACTGGGAGTATACTGTTTTTGAGGAAAGGTTTTATTTTGGTGTGTTAGCAATCACGGCATGCCTGCAGAAAGAACAGGTTATCACTCATCTGAAGATGAAAGTTCAAAAGTATTTCTGTCCTCTAGATGAATTTTGAAGGGAGGCAGATAGAACCTTCTATCTCTTGTAGCATAATAATATAACGACTTTTAAGCATCCTCCTTAAGATCTTGAGATTGCATAGTCATTTAATATTTTCCCACCATGAAATATAAAGTTCTCCACCAGCTTCCCCAATCCATTACATCTTAATTTAAAAAAAAAAAAATGCGTGGCAGTAAAATCTAGACAGCCATAAGCGAGCATATTCAGATGTGTTTCAATAGCTTTGAAGCGGACAAGAAGAAGAAGAAGAAAGGAAGAGTGAAGAGTGAAGAAAAGAAGAAGAAATAAGCTTCTATTGCGTAAGAAAAAGCCTCTCCCATAACGGACAAGGCGAGATTTAAACAAAAGACGCACATAATAAAAATGTAAATGAGTTTGCTTTACTAAAACTATAACTTTAAAGTCTTTTGTTGTAAGTTATCCTGAAACCTTCTTACAAGGTAATCACTGTTTGCATAGAGATTTAAACCGAAGTCTTCAATAGCATTCAACGCCTGCACAGCCCCAGTGTGACAGGCATGCAAAGCCATGTTAATGTTCAGAATGTGAATTGCCTCTGGGTGGTTCCTCCACGAGGCAGAAAACCAACTGTGTGGATATCCGTGTGCCTGATGGACTCCATGCGGCTCCCGGCCTGAAAACGTCACCACTTTGACATGTGATGTGCTCCTCATGACACTGGCGACGCTGACACCGGGAAATGCCACAAAGGCAACAAGCCCCCCTCCTTCGCCGTGCACTTTGCTACCCCCTGGCGCTGCCCGTCCCGGTCTCCCCAGTCTGCCTAGTTACAGGCGGACAGCACTTCAGACACACACAGAGGGAAGGGTGTGGGTGGGGGGGCCCCAGCTGCCTCCCCGGACACAGCCTCCGTAATGAATTGACCTGAATGATGAGGGCACACAAACAGTATGATATGCATTATTCCTGTCAATAAAATGTCCCCATGGGCTGTGGTCTTTGTACGGAATGTACCACAGCCTTTCTTCCAGCGCGCTCTATTTAATCTCCTTCCTTTTTACTATTCATATTATAAGTGTGTAATAGAATTCAGAAAATTATATGATAGCTCTTCTGTATCTGTATTGTCTCGTGTTGCATATTTAAATCCTTGGCTCTGTGCTTAGAAGTACGGGATTCCCCATCTTTTCAGGACGCTTTTGCCAGAGAGACAGCTCTAGAAAGAGAGGATTTGGAGTACAAACTGGAAAACGAGAGGCTGCTTCAAATCGTTTCAGAGCTCGAAGAAGCAATCCGACTCAATCTAAGGGAAAATGCAGTATTAGGTAACATTTTACAGTCATCTTGGAGAAAAACCTATGCATCGGGCACTTCCTAAAATCCATAGCTCTATTTGTCCTTACCAAATGTACATTTGCTTGGTTATTTACGTTTACAAGATCTGTTTGATTTTCACTGAAGATGGCATTCCTTGCTTGCTTGCTTTTTTTTTTTTTTTTGCTTAGAAATATTATAAACAGAAACTTTTGCTGATTTCTGTTCCATATGATTGATTGATTATCTGAAAGTTATGACATTTAAATACTTAACATGCAGATTGGGGTATGCTTTGCGGAGACACAGAGTTAGTTAGCCCTTTCGGAAAAAATATGCTACTACTTACTATGGAATTATCTGCAATTTTGGATTCAGATTTAAAGCACAAATTTCCCTGTGTATGCTTTATACACCCCCCCTTTTTTCTCCAAACCATAAACGTTGGCAAAAGTTGCATTTAAATCACCAAAGTTGAAGTGTTTTGAAGTATTTTTTCACTTACTGTTATCTTCGTATTTATGTTAATTATATAGTGTTCCCCTAACCTGCAGTTGTGAAAAGCAATGAATAAGCAATAAAAAAAAAAAAAAACCTTACAGCAAAACATTGATAAAACCAGAGATCTTACAATGTCCCTTGAATATAAATTATGCCTTGCCAGTGCAGTTTCATTTTCCTTCTAATGTGGTGTAATAACGCTTTTTCAGGTTCTGGTGGTTCTTACTGTGTCCCAAAGTACCACCTGCTAAAGCACTTTGTATTGGCTGTGACTAACAGCAAAAATGTCCCTTGCTAGTATTGATGAAAAGCTTTCAGCCCTCGGCCACACTTGGATCTTGAACTTAGTTCTTAATCCCTATCTGACCAGCCGTCTGAACAGCAGGAAGAAGGCTGTGAATGTCAAGGGCAGTTGTGAAGGTCACAGTCCTGCTAGGACTCGAGTCCACCACGCCTGCCAGCCGCGTACAGCCTGTCCCGGAGCAGGGAGTTTGAATACAGGGCCATAAGTTTGTAATTTCATGCTTGGCCTCTCTCTCCTTTTGTTTACAGAAGATGAAATTATAACTCTGAAAGAGATGGCAGCAAAGGATCATACAACTATTCAAAAGGTACTGTAAGTTTTTACATCGACGAACGACTCCTTTACGCTGAAGTATCAGCACTATCGGTGGCTTAACACTGCATCCCGCTTGTCCCGAGGTACAGAGAAAGATCAATTTCTGTGTTTCATCTCTCCCGTTATTTAGGTAGGGTCTCTGGTAATCAATAAGGATTCCATCTTGAAAATGAATTAATGAGGGGCGCCTGGGTGGCGCAGTCGGTTAAGCGTCCGACTTCAGCCAGGTCACGATCTCACGGTCCGTGAGTTCGAGCCCCGCATCGGGCTCTGGGCTGATGGCTCAGAGCCTGGAGCCTGTTTCCGATTCTGTGTCTCCCTCTCTCTCTGCCCCTCCCCCGTTCATGCTCTGTCTCTCTCTGTCCCAAAAATAAATAAAAAAACGTTGAAAAAAATATAAAAAAAAAAAAAGAAAATGAATTAATGTGCAGAGACTTTTTTTCTTTGGGATAGCTGAGTGTTTACCTTGTTGACTGTAAGGAAAGAAAAGTTACGGGACAAGGAGGTCCCAAGATGTGCCTGGGGAAAAATTCTATTATTAACAACGAACAATCTTATTTGCAGCCCAGATGTGGCCGCGTGTTCATTTTGCGGTGCGGGTGTACTGGGCTTATGTTGTGCAGGAAATCTGTATTTAGAACAGGGAATTCTTTTGGTATCGCCAAGGTCAAGATCTCCTAGAGCATCCAATGCAGCAGGACCTCAGCACTTCTGTGCCCTCGCACAGGTCAGGCGCCCCTGCTTTGGGGTTTCTTCGTTCTCTGTACCATAGCCATCGACACATTTTCAGTGATGGTGAGTCTTCCCTGCCATGCTGTAAGCCCCACGAGGGCAGAAGCAGTATTTTTTCCATCTCTGGTACATTGCCAATGCTGAGCACAGAGCCTGGCACCCTTACAGATGCTCTTTCAGTGATCCGTAGGATGAGAATGTGTTTAGAAATTCACAGGCGAAAATGTGTATTTACGTCCCTGAATTGTTCCGAATAAACATAAATGCTTTCTGCTAGCTGAATAGAGGGTCAGTTAAAAATGAAAATTATTTTAAAAAATGAAAATTAATTAAAACTGGATAACATTAAACATTCAGCTCCTCAGTTGCACTAGCTTTATTTCTAGAGCCCAGGAAACGGCCACCTGTGCTTAAGTTTAGGTCCAAATTTCAACTTAATTTTACAGTTCAGGGTATTCTTGGGTTTTAGGTAAATGACTTTTAAGAATTATTTTTTTATCTTAATTTAATTTTTTTAAGTTTATCTATTAAACTTGAGAATGAGAAAGCATGAGTGGGGGAGGGGCAGAGAGAGAGAGAGAGAGAGAGAGAGAGAGAGAGAGAGAAGAGAGAGTCCCAAGCAGGTTCCACACAGTCAGCACAGAGCCCGATGCAGGGCTCGAACTCACAAACTATGAGATCATGGCCTGAGCTGAAGTTGGGCACTCAATGGACTGAACTACCCAGGCGCCCCTAAGAACTACTTTTGATTTGATTTGATTTGATGTGATTTGATTTAAGTGTTTATTTTTGAGAGAGAGAGAGAGAGGCAGAGAGAGAGGGAGACAGAGGATCCGAAGCAGGCTCCGTGCCAATAGCAGACAGCCCTATGAGGGGCTCAAACTCACAAACCATGAGATCATGACCTGAGCTGAAGTTGGACACTTAATCAGCGGAGCCACCCAGGCGCCCCCTGAGCACCATGTTTTAAAGAATTGGTTAACCTGAAAGCTCAGAGTTGGGAGATGTTTTCTCTGATAACTGAACCCATCACGAGTTTTCAGGGCGAATTCTTTTTCTAGCACTGCAGCTTACTTGTAGTGGTGACTGTTCAAGTCCCATCCACACAGAGAAAACAACAGTTTGTGGACAGACAAGTTTCACTTCCTTGGCATCAATGTCTATGGTTGAAAATGAAGTCCCAGGCTTCCAGTGTCACTTCACCTACAAGGAACCGTCACAGTTTATTTAAATGTTTCTGAAACTGCTCAATCCGTACTGTCACTGGGAGAAATGAATTGTGTAGGCTTACTATGCTCTGAGAAGAGCACGAGAAATTAAGGCCAAAAAAATTTGACTGTCAAGCCACTGATTATAAAAAACATGCCCTTCAAATGACAGGTTATACCCTCTGTGAGCTTAAATATTTCCCTTACATCCTTCCTCAGCTTCCTTAAATCTTCACTGTCCCAAGGTAGCCCTCTGTGGCTATTTGAACACATGAATCATGTCTAGTGCAACTGAGGGACTCAATTCTTACTTGCATCTCATTTTAATTTAAAAAATTTTTAAACCGGTACTTGTTTCGGTATATTGGAAAACCTTTATGTATATTTTAAGTAACTTGGTATGTGAATCTACTTTTTCTTCTGTGGATTTTATGCAGTCTATATACAGATCAGACATTCCCAATGAGATTTTAGCCCCCAAATTGAGATTTGCCACATGTGAAAAGGACACAGTGGGTTTCAAAGACTTCGTGTAATTGAAATATCTCAGCACTGATTTTTAATATTAATTATTACACATTGAGATGATAATTTTTCAGATAGATATTTGGATAAATAAAATTTATTATTAAAAGTAATTTCACCTGTTTCTCTCACCTTTTCTCACAAGACTACCATAAAATTTAAAATTATATATTTACACCATATTTTTAATGCACAGCTCTCTTCTACACAAATATAGCAGATCCCTAGTCTGTTTGATCATTTTTTTAACTTTTTAAAACAGTTTTATTTATTTATTTTGAGAGAGAAAGAGAGAGAGAGAGCACAAGCAGGGGAGAGCCAGAGAGAGAGAATCCCAAGTAGGCTCTGCACTGTCAGCACAGAGCTTGAGGTGAGGCTCGATCCCACGAACTGTGAGATCACGACCTGAGCCAAAATCAAGAGTGGGATGCTTAACCGACTGAGCCACCCAGGCACCCCTGTTTGATCATTTTTTAAATCCTGTATCTTTCTTTAATATGTACTGGATCGCCACAAAAACATTGAATATAGGCACAATGTGGTATTGAGCAGAAAGAATCTCGAACCGTAGGTTCCTTTTCCATTTCTGCCACTATGGTCCCTTGGGCCAGTGCCTTATCTTTCCTCCTGTCTCTCATAGCTAACTGTGTGGACAGAATGAGATAGTGTACATCAACGTGCTTTGTCAACTGGAAAGCGTACCAGTTGAACAACAAGAGTTGTTGAACAAGTGAGAACTGATATTTACTGGTTTGGTTTCCAATATCCTCCACGTAATCAATTAATGTATTAATGTTTATTAGATGCCTTTTAGTGCCAGGCACTGTGCTACTGCTGAGATACAAAAATCACACACACACACACACACACACACACACACACACACACACACACATACACACACACCTCCCTGCTATCGAGCAGATTAAGTCTAGAGCAGGAGACAAAAACCCCTAGGCTGTGTGATAATGTAACGTAATGTAATGTAATGTAATATAATATAATATAATATAATATAATATAATATAAACAATGAAATAATGAATATAATATAATATAATATAATATAATATAATATAATATAAGTATGTATACAGAGAAGAGATGTCTAGCTTTACCCAGAAGGGTCTAGAAAGGCTTCTCAAAGAGTTCCACACCTGTCTCACACTCTTTCACTCGAGCTGATCTTTCCAGGTAGGTAGGAGGGTGTGGGAGCTGGATACAGAGTGTGAATGCATAAAGTGTGAGATATCCCCGTGGACTTGTTTGTGATTTGGTATGGCTAACGAATGAGGTAGGAATCTGGCGAGCCATGTGGTGAGAATTTGTGTTGGGGCAGGAAGAGGGGGAAATCTGGGGAATGGCAGGCAGAAGGAGAAGCAGTTCAGAAGCCTCTGGATAAGACACGTTTTCTTTTTTAGCCCTGGATGCAATTAGAAACAAGTTGAAAAAGGCCTGTCTCTGGGTAGGCTGACCTCTTGCCATCTCTCAGGGCTTAAAGCACTGTCTTTGATGGTATTCAGTAACTTTTATGTTTCAATTCCAATAATCTAATAACAGCTGCATCAAATCTATCCTCCAGCTGTGGCCATAACATGAATGTCGTTCTGGGAAGGAGTCGGACCAGAAGTCAGACATCACAGCCCAGGGTGTGATCAGCCTCGGGACGCGGGGCTGCACAGACGGCCGTGGGGGCACGTGGGGGAGCCCAGCATGGATTGTAAGGGATCCGGGAAGGTTGGAGGAAGGACACTGAGTCGACTCCCCGAAGAGAGGCTCTAGTAAGCCAGGAAAGGGATATGGGAAGTGGGAAGGGTCAAAAACATGCAGAAGGGGGGTAAATTCAGGCGATCTGCGATAGCGGAAGGGTATGTGAGAGCAAGCGGGAGCAAGGCGCAGGGCACATGGCGGGGGATTATTATTCACGCCAAGGGGTTTGAATTCCCTTCCGAGTGCACTGGGGAGCCTTGGACATTGGGGAAGGATTGGATGCATTGGATTTCTTTGTTTCAGACAGGAAATGGGTGGGAAGGGGGAAAATAGAGAGCTCGAGAGACCAGTTAAGAGGTTCCTTGGATAAACCAGGGAAACTATGATCTGAAACGGGAAGAGGACAGTGACCCTGATAATATTAATGAGAGTCATTTGACTGGAGCAACTGGAGCAGTTGAGAGGCCGGGTGAATGCCGAAATGGAGACGGTGGGCAAGGGGAACTCTCTAGAAGTTTGGCTGTGGATGGCCAAGAAGCAGTAGGGGAGTAGTTGGACGGGGACACGGGGCTGAGGAAGGAATTTTTTTTAAAGAAGAAACTAGAGTATTTTTAAATGATGTCAATGGAAAGAAGAAGGAGAGAGTGGACAAATGGCAGAAGTCCTCATTGATAAAGAGTGCTCTCAAGAGGACAGGAAGGGTTGGGGTTAACGGCCTTGACGTTTGTGGCAATTGGCCCCCGTTGGAAACTTGGCGACCCTCCTTTTCAGGCCAAGGTATGATGATTTAATACAACATCTTTTCCTTTCCTTCCACCTCATTCCTTTACTTTCCCTAAACCTGCCGTCCAGCCCTCCACCTCATCAACTACACCGCTGAGTCACCTCCGGAGCCTCCTGCCTGGCCAGTCCCCATGTTCTCCAGCCCTGCTCCGGTGGCGGTGGGCCAATCCTTGCCTGTGGTGGCATTGCTGGACTCTGGGGTTTTAACCCAGGATAGCCACGCCCTCCATCTGCCTATCATTTCACTTGAATCTAATTAGCACCCTTTCTTACTACCCCCTACAGGTCTTCCAATCTCCACTACTTTTCTCAGTTCCCTTATTCCATCCCCCCATGCTACTTCCTAATTCACGGACAACATGGCAGACTCTTGGATTTTTTTCCCTTCTGCACTCTCTTACTCTGTCACCTTTACTCTTTTTCAACAGAAGAAGGACATTCTTTGCCCTGACTCATCCTTCCATCTATTCCCCGACTCATCTCTACGTCCCTCCTCTTCTGGAACTTTCTGCATCAGCCTCTTTCTCTCTAATGCCTTTAAAGTTTTCCCTCTAGCCTACCGAGTGAAACCATCATCTTGGTGGTATCCATTGACCCTAATCATCTCAAGTCATTGCCATTTACTGTACTTCAAATATTATTTAAAAGAAACCTGTATTTACCACCCCTTTCTCATTCCCCCAATGCTACCTTTTCCTGTGGGTAAGGTCACAGTGAGATGCACATTGCTTTCAGTCCTTTTGAGGTTTTTTCCTTCCTGAATTTTCTTCTGTATATGACAGGATTACCGCCCCCCCCCCCCCCATGTCATAGATGTCTTCTGAAGCAATGCTTGCTTCTAATTCTTCACACACTTCTTCATTCCTTCCTAAGCAAGATCTGTCAGTGGCATCTCCTCCATTTTCCACTTGAACGCTATTCTTGGGATTTGTATTTATCCTTGGTCTTCTTCATTTTCTCTCTAGCTGACCTCAGACTTTCCCATAACTGTTTACCAGTGACTTTCAAGCTGCCTTTCCTACTTCATGATTTTCCTGAATAGCACGTCCATAGTTTTCACTCTATTGTCATCCTTAATTTCAACATTACATGCATTTTGATAGTTTCTGTCCACTCCCTAGGGTAATTAGAAGCTCCCTCTGGGGTCCCAAATACCTGGGACTATTTGCCCCCTTAAGGTCAGGAAGCATCTCGTTTATCTTTATATTCTTAGTCACCAGCACTAAAAATTATTGGCTGAAAAAATGCTCTACACATTTGGCAAACCCAGTGTCAGAACTTGAACTCATTATCCCTTGAATCTAGACTCTCTGTGTTCCCCGGTTTAAATGAATGACATTGCCATGGATCCAAAAGAACAGATGACAAATCTAGGGCCATTCTCTATGCTCTCCTTTATACTTTATATCCAATTCGTGGCTCAATCTGTACATTTTTCTCCCAAAATTTATCTCAAGTCCCCTTTCTCCGTCACAACATTGCTCCAGACGTGGTTGAGTCTCTCATCATTTCCATAGATTCGAACTTCACTTTCCTGTCTCCGCCCTCACTCATCCCTTTTCAAATCCAGCGTTCACACTCCTCCATAGTTTTCTCATACTCTAGTTGTACATGCTAAAACCTTCAATGGCTTCCCATTGCCTACGGTATAAAATCAGGCCACGCAAAAATACACTGAGGGATTTTTATATGCCGGGAACAGCCTAAAACACCTTCACATTTGCTGTCTCAAATTCTTTCTGGAAGAACTCTTTGAGGTGGGGTTTATTCTCTTAATTTCCAGACAAGAAAACTAAGACTCGAAGCGTAGATTTAGTTTACCCGCAAAAGCTTCGATTTGAGCAGTCTCCTGTTCCTCTCACTGCACCGTCCTGCCTTCCACCCCTAATTATGGCATCAAATGCCTCTCATGCCGTCACCTGACTCTCCTCCTTTCTTTTCCTGTCACTTCTTTCTCTCTGCACATGACATTAAGCTTTTCCCAACTCCTCCATGACTCCACACTCCTCTCCAGTCGCGGTGTCGTCTGCCTTTTTCTCTGACTTCTTCCTTCTCCAGCTTGTTGCGCTTTTTCGTATCCTTCACAACTGTTGCCAAATGGTGCTTCTCCTGTTATATCTTATCATAATTATGGTTGCTGGGATGTGTGGATTTTTATGCTTTTTGACCATCTGAAATTTTGATTTGTTAACATATTTTCTTATGTATTCTAGTCAATTTTTTCCACATTGCTCTCCTGCCATAGTGTAGATGCTCCAGAGGAAGGGATCTGTTCTACTTCCTCTCTGTACCTCCATAGATGAACAAAATGCCTGGCATCTAAAAGGTGTTCCTTTTAGATTATATATATATATAT